GTACCAGGAAACATCCACTGGGCTTGAGGAAGAGTCCAAAGTCCTAAAACTGGCTCTGCGGCAGACATTCACCCACCAGCACGACCTGGACAAAGAAATCCCAAGCTCCAAGCTCCAAGCTCTGGGAGCTCTTCTCCTTATCGTTTAGACTGGTTAATCATCTGTAGAGCGTGTTTTGGTTTACAGGATATTTTCCCCTAAGTGATGTCATCCGATCCTCCTAACAACACAATAGACGTTTCTCCATTTCGTAGATGAAAAAACTCAACCTCAGGGAGTGTTAGCAACTTGCTTACAGGACCCCAACTGGGAAGTAGGAAAAAACAGGCCTGCTAGGCTGGTGGTCAGAGTCCAAGTACAGCATTCTCTTCGGAACATGGAGTCCCTCTCTCCAGGCCCTAGGGACCCAGAAAAGCTCCACCAGGACCCAGACAGTGAGCTGATCCCTCCCAGCAAGCCAGGCTGTGTGGTCTACAGTCAGAAGGGCCCAGAGGTCCGCTGTACTGTTGTCCTGGGCCCACGTGTGGGTCCATAGAGAAGGATGGCCTCTCTGTAGTGGGTCAGAAACTCAGGGCAAACCTTCCCAAGGTGTGAAATGACTGAATGTATTTCCTTCTGCTAAACCCCACACTGTTTCTCCATAGAGGGACAAAGCTGTTAGCTGTCTTCAAATACGGTCAGCTGGGGAGACCACACAGGAAACAGATGGGACAGTGTAAGAAAGGACCAGGCTAAGAATGAACCCTCCCACCTCAAGAACTGCCTGGGGATGTTATTTTGGAGGGTGGTTAGACCCCCATCACTGGGGGAGTTCAAGCAAAGCCTGCGTAAGCATTTTAACCTAGGAATGTTATAGGGGAAATTCAACCACTGGATAGCTGAGTGGGAAGAATGGGGTGAATGATATTCATACTTCTTTATGCCAAGGGTGCAACTCATTTGCCAAGAGCCAATGATCTGAATCAGGAATGATTTCAGCTTCTATTCAGACCCCTGACGCCCTTCTATGGGGCATGTTTAATCAAGATAGAGCTGTCACTGAGTGTCCCTACCTTCTGCTGTTAATGACTGGGATGGAGTTGAGGGAAGGAGACAAGTAGCTCTGTGTGTGTGTGTGTGTGTGTATGTGTTAGTCCTTGGGCCACAGCAAGCCAAAAGTCTGACACAGGAAGGTATTTCTGGAACTCCATGCTCTGAGGGCTGACTGCTTTGAAGTCTTCACTCTCTGCCCTCCCTGAAAGGTAACTAGGGCATTCCCATTGATTTGGGTGGCCAGCCAGAGAGCTGCCTGGGCCCCGTCGGCATCTGTCCTCTTCACCACAGTAAACAAAATGAGTTGTCAGGTGGGTGGAGGCAAGCCCTGCCTTGGCCATGGGTTCTGAACGGCCACCTGCATCCAGGAGGCAGTTGGCCATCTCTCCTTTGCAGCTGGACTGGACAGACCTTGGCATGTTAGGAGGAGTTCTCTTAGGACATCTCAGGACCTAGAATTTGGAACCGGGAATTTCAGGTGCAGGAATCTGACAGTAGCATCCCAGCAATGTCCTAGGGACACCCAAGCTTTCTAGGGTCCCCCAGGCAGTGAGGGGCTCCTGTCCCACTGGCGACAGGGCTCTGTGCATACTTCTCAGAACACAAAGAGTTTTCTGTGGCTTGGACACCCCAAGCTACTAAATTGTTGGCCACAGTGTCCTGAGGGTTAGAAAATGGACCAGAACTTCTACCTCCAGAAAGCCTCCCAGGGCTGTGTTCGGTTGGTGAATAGACAGTGACATCTTCCCTTTCCCCAACTCTCTGCAAGCTCCCACCTCCTGCTTGGTTTTTAGTTTTCCTCTGAAGCATTCACTGCCAATCTGGGTTGCAGAAGGAGCATGACCAGACCCCAGGCTCGGCCCAGCCTGGCCCATGTTCTTCTAGTACTAGTAGCTGCTCCCACTCATTCCTTCCTTCAATAAATGCTGGCTCATGTGCCTGTAAACCAAAAAAGAACTCACAACTACCTCACAGAAAAGTGGGCAAAGGATATGAACAGGCAACTCTCAGACTTGGTGTGATCACTTGCCGTGTAAATTTCAGCAAATAACTGAAACACTCTGTGCTTCAACTTTCTTATCTATTCTATTGTACTGGGTTATTGTAGAGACTGAGTGATGTAATCCACATGTTGTGGGCTTAATTGTGGATGCTCCTGCTCCAAATGTATATGTTGAAATCCTGACCCCCAGCACCTCAGAACGTGATAGTATTTAGAGACAGGACCTTTAACAAGGCAAATATGTTAAACTGTATTAGCGTGGGCCGTAATACAACCTGACTGGTGTCCTTATAAAAGGAGAGGAAGAGACATTAGTGGTGCCCACACACACAGAGGGACAACCATGGGAAGAGGCAGCAAGAAAGCTGCCATCAAGCCAAGGAGAGGGACCCCAGGATCAACCAACCCTGACGGTGCCTTGATCTTGGACTTCCAGCCTCCAGAACTGTACACAGACAAATTTCTGCTGTTTAAGCCTCTGGTCTACAATGTTTTGTTGTGGCAGCCCTAGCAGATGAACAGTACACCACATAAATCACTAGAACAGTATCTGGTGTACAGTACACAGTAAATGGTGACTGCTACCATCAGCATTATTTCGCTCTGCTATATACCCACACTGTATTTGTTACAGCTGTACCAGCTTAAAACACAAGTTTGTTACCTTGTGGTTCTAGGACCTCCTAGAACCATAAACTTGTGTTGTTGACATAGGTCAAGAGTCTCACTGGGCTAAAATAAAAGTGTGTGCAGGGCTGCATTCTTCTGGAGGCTCCAGGAGAGGGTCCATTTCTTGCCTTTTTCAGCTTCTAGAGGCTGCCTGCATTCCTTGGTTTATGGGTGCTTCCTTCATCTTCAAATCCTTCTCTGGCCCTCCCATCTCTCTCTTATAAGGATCCATAGGATTATATCAGTCCCTCCCTGATAATCAGGGTAACTTTCCCATCTTAAAAGCCTTAATTCAACCACATATGCAAAGGCCCTTTTGCCATTTAGGATAACATATATGAAGATTTGGGAGATTAGAATGTGTACATATTTGGGGAAGCATTACTCTGTCACACACACAATGTATTATTATGTGAGAAAAGCAAGCTGTAGGACAAATACATATAGATTGATCTCATTTATGCAAAAAAATACCAAATAAATTTCTACAGAGAAAATAAATACAGACAGAATGAAACTCACAAAACTATTAACCATAGTATTTTCTGGGGAAAGGTTTAGGGCTTCACTCTGCGCATCTAAAAATTTTTTTGATAATATTCACCTTATTCATTAATTATTTGTATATTTAAAAAAATTTTTTGTTAAGTAATCCAAAGAACAAAAGGAGACACAGGCACCCATCTTTGTGGGGCCCCAGCTAGAGATATCAAATAAATCGCCAGTGCCGAAAGCTCTCAGTAAGTGTTCTGGGCAGTGTGGGCAAAGCACCGTGGCCACTGGGGCAGGGGCTTTCCACTCCCCTGGAAGGCTTTGGTGGAGATGATATCTGCTGAGTTCTTCAGAAAAAGAAGGAGTTTTCTAGGTAGAGGGAAGGGAAAAAAGTATTGCAGATGACCATGGCCCAAAAGGAGTCTATCCTTTATCCAGCAGTGTAGGTGATGTGGAGTAGAGGCTGGAGGCAGGAATCTGCCACTTGACGGTGGTCAGCTACCAGCTACGAGGAGAGATAAAGACAAAGGAAGGGAAGCTCACACCTGGAGCCGCTGCCTGCCAGGTCCCATGCTGAGCGGTTTTGTAGGCATTTCCTCACCAGGTGTACGTGAATCTCAGAGAGAGGGGCTGAAGTAGATGAGAAAAAGCATGAGAAAGAAATGGGGGTAGGGGCTTGGGGCAGGGTCTGTCATTAGAGCAGATGCAGGCGGGGAGGGATAGGGCCAGAGCTGGAGGACACCCTCTCCCACCATCCCCAAATACTTCTGAGCATCTTATGGCCCCCCATCCACCAGTTCTGCCCCAAGGCAGTTCTAAGTTCCAGAAAAGACTTAGGCAGCCTAGTGGGACTTGGAGCCAAGGAAGCTTCCCAGGGACCCTGACCTTGGACCTGGTGCTGAAAGGTCGATAAGTGGTCTCCAAGAGGTGCCTCAGCCAAGTGGCCACAGAGCTGGCCCAGGTCACCCTGGCAGCAGGGTGCTCTGCACAAAACCCTTGAAGGGTATAATATCCAAGCCAGGGCCAGGCCTGGGTTGGGTGGGGGTGCTGGGCCTGCGGGTGGGGAAAGCAGGCTGAGGGACTTCAACCAGTGGCCATCCATCTCATGAGCTTGTCCTGACTTGGGGAGGCAGTACATGTCTGAGGATGCAGCTGAAGACATAACAAGCCTGAGTGTGGCAAAGAGAAATGGTGGGTGAGCAGGATTGGGGTGGGGGGTGCCATCTGCAGGGTGCCAATGGCATGCTGGCTCCCATAATGGGCTCAGATCTCTGTTCTGCCAGTGTCAAGCTGTGTGGCCTTGGACCAGCTATTTAGTCCCTGCCTCAATTTCCCCATCTCTAAAGTGGGGGGAATGATAGTGTCTACCACATGGGCTGCTGGGTGTTAGGTGCATAGAACAGTTGGTGCATGGTGAGGCTGCTTCAGCGCTAGTGGCAATTCCTTGTGGCCCCTTCAGGGATCTCCCAGCTAGGCCTGGTAGGCAAGGGCCCCTTCAGGGTCTCCATGCCACCTGGTGTCACTCTCAACCTGTCACTCCCTTACACCTGCTCATAGGGCCCATGTGTGGCCTACTGCCCAGGGAGGAAAGGGGTGCTGGCTCTGGGGCGGTGGTTATGAGGCTGGGGTCTCTGAAATGCCAGGAGGCATTTCATGGCCCCTGGTGTGAGAGGAGAGGACAGGAGGAGGCAGAGTTTCAGAGTAGCAGAGACACCAACAGGGAGATCTTCCCAGGGCTGAGGTGAGCACACTTGCTGGTCACCAAATGCCCAGGGCTGGGCATCAGAGATAGCCAGAGCTCCTTAGCGCTGCATCACAATGCCAAGGTGTCCTTCATGATCTCAGGGGCCATTGTGAAAACACCTGTGTGCCAGGCAGCCCTGTGAAGAAGGTGGAAGTAGGCATCACAGAGTCAGGAACAGTGATGGGTCTGGTTCCACTCCGGAGAGGCAGGTTGTGGGGGTGGGTCTGGATACTGATTGTGGCTGCAGGGCCAGCATGCCAGGGCCTTCAGAATCCTCCAGTGGTTCATGGAGACGGACAGGTATACTGACCCACTCAGGAGCACAGCTACCTCCCATAGAGAGGACCCTCTCCCAGGAAGGGGACAGGGGATTGGTGCAGAGCAGCTCAACAGAACATCCTCAGTTTGCCTGGCAAGTGGTACATTAGTGGCTGAGCAGGAGACAGTGGCAGCCTGTGGTGTTCTAATGCCATTGTCAAAAGGTGTAGAAAGGCAGCGTTTAGGGTGTGCGGTGCAGACTATCAAGTCATCTGATGTGTTAGGGATTCTCAGAAAAGCCCCGACTCAGGAAGGGGTGGAAATCATGGCCCGGAGGAAGCCCAGGCCTGCAGCTAGCTACTATGAGGCCTTGGACAAACTGCTTCGACTCTCTGGGTTCCCCCTCCCAGAGAGTGATAATAAGGACAGGAGGCACGTGAGGCCATGAGTAAGAACAATGGCTACATGATGATAGCGTTAACCACTCTGCAGCACTTACTGTATTTGAATGACTTTAGCACATTATCTCATGGAATCCTGTGACCACCCTGTGAACTAGATATTATTATCCTCATTTTGCAGATGAGAAAATGAAAGTTCAAAGAGGTTAAGTAACATGTTCTAGGTCACTCAACAAATGAGGACTTTAAACCCTGGAATAGCCAGTTCCAGAGTGCCTGCTGAAACCCCCAGCTGGGATCCCTCTGGGCCAGCTCTACGCTCCATCCTCAGCATGAAAAATCGAGAGGGGCTGCCTAGGTTCCTTTGCGTTCCATCTCACCACCGCTTGAGGGCTTGGGCTCTCAGCTTGGTGCACAGGAGATGGGCAGGGATGGCCCTAGCCCACCACCGGCCCTGCAGGACGTGAAGCAGTAGGAGCCCTGCAGGACGTGAAGCAGTAGAAGCCCTGCCATCTCCACGACCCACATTGCGCCTCGCTCTTGCAGGTCCAGAGGTCTTTTGACCTGTCTGAGATGGGCTACTGATTGTCATCTCCTTCTCACATCCTAGCAATAGCATGCTGCCTTGAGTTTAAACTGAGTCCTTCTTTGCAAGAGCTTAGTCCATAAATTCTTTACATAGCAACTTCCTAATCGTCCATTTTATGAAACAGTAACTCTCTGTTTCTGTTTCTCCTCCACTGCTGCAGAGTGAGCACTCACAACCAATAGGTTTTATTTTCCCTTTTTCATGTCCAATTTCTTTTTCTAAATTTTTTGAGACAGGGTCGCACTCTGTCACCCAGGCTGGGTGCAGTGGTGCAATTCCAACTCACTGCAACCTTGATCTCTCAGGCTCAAGCGAGCCTCCTGCCTTAGTGACACACCCTCCACCATACCTGGCTAACTTTTTTAAAAATTTTATTTATTTATTTATAGAGACAGAGTCTTGCCCAAGCTGGAGTGCAGTGCTGTGATCACAGCTCACTGCAACCTCTGCCTCCTGGGTTTTAGCAATTCTCCTGCCTCAGCCTCCTGAGTAGCTGGGATTACAGGCGCACAGCACTACACCTGGCTAATTTTTTATATTTTAGTGGGGGGGGTTCTCCATGTTGCCCAGGCTCATCTCAAATACTTGAGCTCACGCAATCCACCTGCCTCAGCCTCCCAAAGTGCTAGGATTACAGGGGTGAACCACCACGCCTGGCCACTTTTAAATTTTTTATAAAGGTGGGGTCCCACTACATTGCCCAGGCTGGTCTCACACCAAATTTTAAAAATAGCCTTTATTTTTTTAGAGCAGTTTTAGGTTCACAGCAAAATTGAGCGCAAAGTACAGAGTGGTCCCAGATGCCCCCTACCCACATACATGCAGAGAATCCCCCACTGTCAAAGGCCCCAACCACAGGGGTACATTTCTTACCATCAGTGAACCTGCACTGACTTATCGTTATCACCTGAATTCCATAGTTTACACTAGGATTCCTTCTTAGAGTTGTGTATTCTATGGGTTTTGACAAGTGCATAGTGACATGGATGGACCATTTTAGTATGAGACAGTTTCAATGCCCTAAAAATCCTCTGTCTTCTGTATGGTCATCCCTCCCTCTCCTCAGACTGCTGATAACCCCACTCGTCTTTTTGCTGTCTCCATAGTTTTGCCCTTTCCAGAATGTCATATCGTTAGAATCGTATAGCATACAGACTTTTCAGATTGGCTTCTTTCATACAAACACGCAGTTAAGTTTTTTCCATGTCTTTCTGTGGTTTGAAGGCTCATTGTTTTTAAGCACTGAATAGTATTCCATTTTCTGGATATGCCCCAGTTTATTTACTCAGCATCTACTGAAGGTCATCCCTGTGGCATCCAAGTTTTGGCAACTGCGAATAAAGCTGCTATAAAATTGGTGTGCAGGTTTGGTGTGGATGCACATCTTCAGTTCCTTTGGGTAAATACCAAGGAGCATAATTGCTGGATCGTCTGGTAACGATATGTTTAATTTTGTAAAATAAAACCACCGGCCGGGCGCGGTGGCTCAAGCCTGTAATCCCAGCACTTTGGGAGGCCGAGGCGGGTGGATCATGAGGTCAAGAGATCGAGACCATCCTGGTCAACAAGGTGAAACCCCATCTCTACTAAAAATACAAAAAATTAGGTGGCACGTGCCTGTAATCCCAGCTACTCGGGAGGCTGAGGCAGGAGAATTGCCTGAACCCAGGAGGCGGAGGTTGCGGTGAGCCGAGATAGCGCCATTGCACTCCAGCCTGGGTAACAAGAGCGAAACTCCATCTCAAAAAAAAAAAAAAAAAAAAAAAAAACCACCAAACTGTCTTCCAAAGTGTTTGTTCTGTTTTGTATTCCCACTGGCAATGAAAAAAGCTTTATTTTATTTTTGGGGGACAGGATTTGCTTTGTCATCCAGACTGGAGTGCAATGGCACAAACATGGCTCATTGCAGCCTCAATCTCCTGGCCCAAATGATCCTCCTGCCTCCATCCCCTAAGTAGCTGAGACTACAGGCACACACCACCATGCTAATTTTTGTGTTTTTTGTAGAGACAGGAGTTTCACCATGTTGCCTAGGCTGGTCTCAAACTCCTGAGCTCAAGCGATCTGGCAGCCTCATCCTGCCAAAATGCTGGGATTACAGGTGTGACCCACTGCACCCGGCTGAGACTTTAATTTTAAATCAGAGATGAAAGTGACAGCTATTAGTTGGTAGAGAGGCACTTCTGGTTCCATACTTCGGGTAGTTTTTGTTTGACTACACTGTCCCCTCAGCTAGACAAGCCAGTCCCATGCTCTTACAAACACGCTCACATTTCCTCACCCTTACTTTGAGGCCTCATTCTTGGTGCAGAAGCTTTCCGAGGCATCCTTCTTCTGCTCCATGAAGGAAAGACTCCATCCATCTAGGTCCTGTGTCTGAGAAGCTTGTGATGCTCTTGCAGTGCCCTGGCATGCACAGGGGCCAGTGTCCAGTTGTCCAAGCTTACCTGTGCCCAGAGAGGACCCAGGTGGCTCTGGAAGGCCCCCTTTCTACTTGGAACAGACCTGGCCAGCCCCAGAGTCTGAGTCACTGGAACATCATCAGGGCCTCGGAGAGGAAAAAGCCCCTGTGGCTCTGCCCTCTCTCCAGATCCAAGCTCCTTCTTTCTTTGTCTCTTTTTGATGTGAAATTCACATAACATAAAAATTAACCATTTTAGGCTGGGCATGGTGGCTCATGCCTGTAATCTCAACATTCTAGAGGCCAAGGTAGGTGAATTACACAAGGCCAGGAGTTTGAGACCAGCCTGACCAACATGGAGAAATTCTGTCTCTACAAAATAAATAAAAAACAAAACAAAACAAATAACCATTTTAAAGTGAATAATTCAGTGGCATTTTTTTGGGGCACTGGGATCTAAGGAGGCTCCCAGACATTTTTCTGTATCTTGGGTTCACCTAGTCTGGTAATGGAACAAATGGAATCATACAACATGTGGTCTTTTGCGTGTGACTCCAAGTTATTTTGCACGACTCTCTGAGGAAGGAGGAGGAGAAGGGACCTCTTCAGCCTTTATCTCCTTCTCTGTCCCTTGTCCACCTTGCCCTGCGCGCCCACCAGCAGCACCTGTGGCTCAGCTCCTCCATTCTTTGCCATTTCCTATTCCTCTTTTGTATTTATATTTTTTGAAACAGGGACTCATTCTGTTGCCCAGGCTGGAGTGCAGTGACATGACCATAGCTCACTGCAGCCTCGAACCTCCCAGCCTCAAGCGATACTCCCACCTCAGCCTCCTGAGTAGCTGGGACTACAAGCATGCACCACTACGGCCAGCTAATTTTTAACACTTTTTTTTGTAGGGACAGAGTTTCGCCATGTTGCCCAGGCTGGTCTCAAATTCTGGGCCTCAAGTGATCCTCCTGCCTCTGCCTCCTAATGTGCTGGGATTATAGGCATGAGCCACCATACTCAGCCTCCTATTCCTTTTAAGTGCTTTGAGGAATCATAGATGCATTCAACAAATAGCTCATAGGCTAGCAGCTGGGAGAGACAGGTTAAGTGTCATTAAAACTGTAATAAGGCAACGCTAGCAGTTTTACAGAGAGCCAGGGGACCCAAGACACAACTAATTCAGCCTCGAGGTGAGGCGGGTGAGGGAAGGGGAGGTGGGGCCTAGGTCTGTCTTCAGCCTTGAGGTGAGGCAGGTGAGGGAAGAGGAGGGGGGCCTGGGTTTGTCTTGCTCTTGTTCCTCAGCACTCAGGGTGGTTCCTGGCAACTAGAACAGGGATGAGTGAACAAGTCAATCAGTCAAGGAAGCAATCTCTCTCTCAGCCAAGAGCTGAAGAGGCCGGGCGCAGTGGCTCACACCTGTAATTCCAGCACTTTGGGAGGCTGAGGCAGGCAGATTACAAGGTCAGGAGATCAAGACCATCCTGGCTAACACATTGAAACCCCATCTCTACTAAAAACAAACAATTAGCTGGGCATGGTGGCAGGCGCCTGTAGTCCCAGCTACTTTGGAGGCTGAGGCAGGAGAATCGCTTGAACCCAGGAAGTGGAGGTTGTGGTGAGCTAAGATCGTGCCACTGTACTCCAGCCTAGGCCACAGAGGGAGACTTTGTTTTGGAAAAAAAAGAAAGAGCTGAAGAATGAATAGGAGTTGTCTCTACTGAAAAAAAAAATGGGTAGAGTCTATCCGGAGATTGTAGGCAAGAGAGTCAGCCCGTTCATTGCACTGAGAGATGTTTCGGTCTAGATGGAGGTTGAAGAAGATGGGAGTAGGGCAGAAGAAGTTGGGGCCAGGTCATGCACGGCCTTGGACTTTGACTTTATCCGGGGTAAAAGAGGGACCACTGAAGGGTTTTACGTGGATTTGCATTTCAGAAACACGCTGTCTAATCCAGACTAGTTATGATAATGACCTAAGGAGGCTCCCAGCAGACAGAACATCGTTCTTGCCCGCCTGCCATTGGTGGGCTACTGGAAAACAGAGGTGTTTCATCCAAAATAATCATGTGAAAAAATTAATGAACTCACCACAAGGATGCAAGGTGCTCTGAGGGATGCTATGAGTCAGGGAAATGCTTCCCAAGACCTGGAGGGACTTCGAAATCAGAACTTGGGAAATGAGCAGGAGTTGGCCAATGCTAAGGCTCTTGGGAAGGTCCTGAGCAGCCTGTGTTGAAGGAGGTGAGAAAAGTCCATGGCAGTTGCTGTGAAGAATGTGAGGCGGGGAAACTGATTGGAGGAGGCTGGGGAGATCAGAAGGGCTCAGACCAGAACGACCCTATTACACATTTTGGACTTACCCTAAGCAAAATAGGAAGTTCTTAATGATGTAAACAGGATCTATTTTGAAAAATAGGGTTCATTGCATTTTCTCTTTCACATTTCTGTGCATGTGACCTTCTTCCTGGTCAGCTCAAATATCTGCTTCCCCAAGGATTATCAAAGAAAAAAACGCAGAGAAGGATAACGAATAGCTTCTGACATCCAAACTACGATTTTTCAGCCAGACAATAGTCTTGAAAGACATTTTTTTTTGAAAGAAAAAGGATGTTCTGGTGTCTTTAGCTCCCTCTGTAAGATATCAAGAAGCCCTGACAGAATTCACCATGGGCTTTACCTAAAGAAAGGAATAGAAGAGAAACCCCTGAGCTTTAGTCCAAAGGATGGCAAGGAGGAGGCCAGAGAGAAAGCAGGTGGCGCAGGAAGTCAGGAAGTCAGATGTGCGTCCTAATCTACCTTCCATTTGAAGTCCCGGAGGGTGAAGGTGCCTTAGAAGATAGGGGAACAGTGGCCCTTCTAGGACCCTGGGAAGAGATTTCCTCCAATATCTATCCAGAGGTCTTCAGTGTGGTTAGGCACAGAGAGGGTTTGAACTTAACCTTCTCAAGCCACCCTGGGTTCCCATGTGGTGTGAGAACGATGTCTACACTAGATCTTTAGCTGTGGGTTTTGCTTAAGAAACTGACTAGAAGCAGATAGTTGAAAACATACCAAGCTTTTAAGAAAAATGTATGAAATTCTTTTTAAAAAGCAGTGACTATGGTCTGTCATAACCTTACCAGTTAAATTATAAAACAATCCCAGGGCCCCAGAACCTGCAGCAGCAAGAAGGAGGCTGTGAATACCCAGGGTGCCCATTCGCCAATGCCCATTTCAAGGGTGGCCATGGAGGTTCTTTCAAGGGTGAACCAGAAAGAACTTCCCAGAAGGAAGAGCCCAGAGACACAGACAATGAACAAAATGATTCTTCCCAAAGAGGAAAAATTTTCCCCCAATCTCTGGCTCCAGACTTTTAGATAAGAGAAGAAAATCCTGTATGCTCAAGGTTCTGTTTATTTGGGTTTTCAGGCACAGGCGGCTGAATGGAATCCTAACTGATATACCTCTCCAATAGGCTTTCAGCAGGAGTCTTAAATAATCATTTTGGTTTTAGGGACCCAGCACCTGCAGCGGCAGCAGCAGGAAATAGCAGGCTGTGAACGCTCGTATCAGTTTGTTTTGGCTGCAGAGTGGGGATTGGAGATGACTGTGGTTGTCTAGATCAGAGACTAGAGGTGCTCACACTAGGATGGAGGCAGTGGGGCGGGATAGAACATTCACACGGGGAACAGACGGGACTTGGGGTATTTGCCTTGATATGGGGATTGAGGGAGAGATGAGAGTCAAGGACAGGTAGAGGAAAGTTTAAAAAAAAAAGGCATTTCACAGAAAAAGTGGTTAGCAGTGCTAAACGGTGGGCAGTAATCAAAGATGATAAGAGCTGAGATGTGTCTGTGTAGGATTTTATCACAAGGAAGTACAGAGGCTCAGGCAGAGGAGGGAAGCCAGACTTCAGGGGGCTGAGAGAAGAGTGGGAACGAGGAAGTGGAGGCAGTAAGTAAAGGTAACTTCCCGAGACTCTCGGCTATGAAGCTGAAATGCGAGTGGGGTCAAGGGGGGTTTTTTTTCAGGTTTAAGATGGATGACACTTGATCACATTTAATGCTGACAGGAAAGTGCCCTTGAGGAGACAGACATCCATCGCAACATAAGAAGAGGAGGAAGCTGATGCATGAGGGTCCCTGAGAAGAAGGAGCATAGAGGGACCCAGAGCTGTGCGAAGGAAGGGGCTTGGGGACAGTAGGGCCCTTCTCTGTCAAATCAGGAGAACGAGGGAAGGTGGGAGACAGATGGCAGCAATGGGAGATTGAGGAGATGCCCTCTGATGTCCTCCCTTTCCTGAGAGGTGGAAGGTGACGCCATCTGTGGAAGGTAAGGGAGCTGGGGCGCCTAAGAAGAGGGGAGGCAGTCTAGGGAGACCCTCTGGGGAACAAGAGAGCATTGACTGGGAAAAACACAGATGGCTCAGGCCCAGGGCAGGGTGGAAACATGGCATGATGGTGGCACCAATCTGCACATCTTCCAGCTTCTGGCGTTAAATGCCTAAACTGAACTCAGGACCTGGGCCTCCCAACCCCAACCCAGCTCCTCCTCTTGCCTCCCAGTTTCTCTGTTCCTGGAACCAGACCTCTCAGACTCAGCTTCCCCAGGAATGTCCTTCTGACATCACTGCGAGTGAGAACTCTCTGGGGCCCCCCTCCTCCCCCCGCCCACCTGTCCTGCACACCTGCTGCAATAACCTCTCTAGAGTGGCTGTGGCTGTGTCACCTCCATGCAGCTGCCCCTTTTGCAGCGCCCAGTACCTAGAAATAAAGCTCTTAGGTCTTCTTACTTTTGCGGTCTGTTTAAATGCCACTGCTTCTGGAAAGGCCTTTCTAGCCATCCCCTAGACTAGGGAAAGTCCCCTTGGTACCTGCCCTCATGATGCCTTACACATCTCTGAGACACCAGTGAACTTGTAATTACTTATCCTACAATGGCCGGGGGCCAGGACAATGGCCTGGGGTGGGGGTGGAGGCCCTAGGGCTTCCTAGTCCCCTCTGTCTTCCTGGAGCCGAGAACAGTGCCTAGCACAAATAGCCACTCAATAAAAGTCACTGATAGACTGACAACACAGTCACCTGCACAGCCTCAAAAGCGACCCCATGTTCTCCTCCCTTTGTCTTTGATGAGACTGTTCCCTCGGCTGGGCACACTTGTTTTCCTCTCCATCTGTCTTTTTTTTTTTTTTTCTTTTGAGGCAGGGTCTGGCTTTGTTGTCCAAGCTGGAGTGCAGTGACATGATCACAATTCACTGCAGCCTCCACCTCCTGGGCTCAAGCAATCCTCCCATCTCAGCCTCCTGAGTAGCTGGGACCACAGGTGTGTGCAACCATGTCCAGCCAATTTTTTAAATTTTTGTAGAGATGTGATCCTGTCATGTTACCCAGGCTGGCCTTGAACTCCTGGCCTCAAGTGATCCACCTGCCTTGGGCCTCCTGAAGTGCTAGGATTACAGGCTTGAGCCACTGTGCCCGGCTCCACTCTATCTTACCCATAGTCATCCCACTTCCTCTTCCAGGCTCTAATTTAGGGTCCTCTACTCCAGAGTCTTCTCTGAAATCCCCCACCTGCCACAGGCCAAAATGTCTGTGCTCCTTCTCCTTTCAACAGATTGGAACTGCTTTGAGAGCAGCTTCTAGTTTGTAGTTCATGGCTATTTCCAGTGAAAACATCTGACTGTCACATAGAGAGACAGCTCATTTCTAATGCTGGTATCAATCATCTTTTAGAACTGTGTCCCCAAGAGTGCGTTTGGCAGTGCCATGCACTAGGTAGGAACACAAAAGTATTTTTGAATGAATATTGTCTCCCTCATTCCTGTCTGAATATAATGGTGACAGTCTCCAACTGCACACTCACTTTTAAAAATGTAGTTCTCCTCTGTTTACAACACAAAAAAGATGTCTGTTTTCATCAGTGATTGTCTTTTCAGATTTATTCCATCTTTATCAAATAAACAAATGCATGCCATTTGCACTGGATCAAGGTAGTAACTGTATTTGCCGGTGGACCAGACACACCAGTGTGTAAGTAAAAAGGAATTTCTGGCCGGGGGCAGTGGCTCATGCCTATAATCCCAGTAACTTTGGGAGGTGAACGCAGGTGGATCACATGAGGTCAGGAGTTTGAGACCAGCCTGGCCAACAAGGCGAAACCCCGTCTTTACTAAAAATACATTAGCTGGGCATGGTAGCACATGTCTGTAGTCCCAGTTACTCGGGAGGCTGAGACAGGAGAATCATGAACCCAGGAGGCAGAGGTTGTAGTGAGTGGAGATCATGCCACTGCACTCCAGCCTGGGCAACAGAACGAGACTCTGTCTCATAAATAAATAAATAAGAGAAAGAATTTCTCATGGAGTTGAGATTTTCCAACACATCCGGCAACACTTTTCTCTTGGGGAACTGAATCAGACCATGGCTGTGAAGGCATGTGAAAAGGTTACAAAGCACAGAAATAAGGGGAACCAGTAGCACTCGTCTCTATTAGTTTATTCTCCGTGCTCATGTTGCGTGATTCTTTTTTCGTTCAGAAAATAGTCACTGGGATTCTAAAAAATACTACCTAAATATGAATCCACAGAGACAGATTGGTGGTTGCCAGGGGAGTTACTTCCTGTCCAGCAGGTGACTGAGGAGTTACTTCCTCGCTGGGGTTTTTTTCCCGATGATGAAAATATTTTGCAACTAGAGAGAGTAGTAGTTGTAATATACCATATTGTAACGGTAATACATGTCACTGAATTGTTCACTCTACAATGGTCAATTTTCTTCTACATGAATTCCACCACACAAAGATATGTCACCTATATGATACTGAATAGTTTCCAAACGTCCTGAGGGACAAGGCAGCGTTATGTTCTGAAGCAGCTGCAGGTCTGAAGGCCCCGCAGCAGCCTGTGCTTTGCCTTTGGAGAAAGAAGGGGATCCCCTGTGTCTTCGCAGGTCCAGATCCTCACAGTGTCCTCAGAGTCACTCAGCTGGCCACCACTGCAGTCCAGGCCACCACAGAGCATCGTGTTTTGGTTTGTTTTCTCCTTGGGCTCACAGAAGGACTTGTTAAGGTGGTTAGTTTGATTAAGAACCAGCCAGTTCCAGAGGTGGAGCCTGAAGGAGGTTCTATTTTTTTTCTTCAAGTGAGTGGAACTTTTCAGGAACAACTCACAGACTGTGGATGGATTACAGATGCATTTCACTGTGGCCTCTACCCACGAGGGGCCTCATGGAGGGGAAGGAGGAGGACCTGCCCGGTGTGCAGAGTCATGGGGTATAGTTCTGCTCTACTCCAAACAGGTTTGGCAAAGGCAGAAGCTGACTGCAGAGAAGGTCGGGTGGGCCGGGTGCAGTGGCTCATGCCTGTGATCCCAGCATTTTGGGAGGCCAAGACTGATCACTTGAGATCAAGAGTTCGAGACAAGCCTGGACAATGTGAAGAAACTTCGTCTTTACTAAAAATACAAAAAAATGAGCCAGGCATGGTGGCAGGCGCCTGTAATCCCAGCTACCCAGGAGGCTGAGGCAGGAGAATCGCTTGAACCCGGGAGGCGGAGGTTGCAGTGAGCCAAGATCGCACCATTGCACTCCAGCCTTGGCAATAAGAAACTCTGTCAAAAAAACAAAACAAAAAAACAAAGAGGGCTGGATGGACTTGTCCTAACAGTTCACAGCGGCTCAGCAAACAGTCCTTTTGTTGTCTCATCAGGTGTAAGTACAGCCTCCCAGACCAGATGCACGGGTGGCCTGAAGGCCATCAGACCTGCATGGGGGCCTGGCAGGCACTGAGCTACCCCATGTACAAGTATCCCACCCACCCTTTGAACACACAAAGCCAAAAGGAACATCGCATCCTTCATTTCAAAATGGCACTGGAGCCCAGAGCCCAGTGGCTTCACCATAATCAACTTGCCTCCATCGACACTGTCACAAGGTCTGTGACTTCAGCTACTTAAGTTTCCCCAACTTCAGCCCTTCACCTCTTTCCACAGGCCCTCACGTACTGGTCTCATTGCTCAGCATGTTGGAAAATATCAGCTCCAGGAGAAATTCCTTTGCTCTTACATAGTGGCAGTTCTCATGAATACAGAAAAGGCTGGAGACAAAGTTGTGTTCACTTGGGGAACTCTAGGTCCAGTAAAAGGGGATTGTCCCAGGGCTCCCTCACCAAGACAGCTTTCCTGAGGAAGCAGACTCTGCTTCATCCTCGAAACTGCACATTTGCTGGAAATGTCATAAAGAGTTAACCATACCCCAGCTCACTGAACTGGTTTGGGCTGAGGCAGCCTAGAATGACAGGTGACTGCAATCTTCCCCCAACAGATTGTCTTAGGTTGAGAACCCAGGGGAGGTTGCCCCTTACTGTTTCTCTCCGTAAAAGACTGAAAAACTGTCTGGATGCTTTGAAGGCATTTACAGCTGCGCAGAGAAACTTCTGACTCCATCTAATAAGTCACTGTCAGTCATCAACCTCTCTGATTGCCAAATGGGTGAAGAGATGGGAATTTAAATAAACAGAGGATTTTGAAGGTGAAGAACATTATGGAAGGGCCTAGGCGTGAAAGCCATGCATCAAAGCATGAGCACATGTATCTCTCTTGACAACTTCATCCCCAAAGCCCAGAGAAGCTGGATGTGGACCTCCTGAGCATCTGCCTCCTCAGCATTTAGACCACAAAGAGGCACACCAGTTACTCAAGAAAGTGCAGGTAGCACTGAAACCCTCCAGATCCTTCCGTTTCCTTGTCCACTCAGGTGGAAGAGGTCATTACAAGGCCCAATGCTATGACTCTGAGTGGCCCTGTTCCTTAATGCCCCTGGCTCATGTAAAAGGAAAAGGAGGCCGGGTGTGGAGGTTCACGCCTGTAATCTCAGCACTTTGACTCGCAGAGGCGGGTGGATCACTTGAGGTCAGGAGTTCAAGACAAGCCTGGCCAACATGGTGAAACCCCATCCCTACTAAAATTACAAAAGTTAGCCAGGTGTGGTGGCACACATCTGTGATCCCAGCTACTTGGGAGGCTGAGGCAGGAGAATCCGTTGAACCCAAGAGGCGGAGGTTGCAGTAAGCTGAGATCATGCCACTGTACTCCAAACTGGGTGACAGAGCAAGACTCCATCTCAAAAAATAAATAAATAAAAGGAAAAGGAAGGTATATTGTTATTCCTCCTAGGGTACTCTTAGAATATTATCATGACCTTGTTCCTTTACCGATCAGGAAACTAAGGGTCAGAGGGATTAAATGGCTCTTTCCAAACCTCAATAGCCAGCGAGTAGTGAGGGCAGGCCTAGCATTTAGGGTCCCTGTTACTCCCAGTTCAGTGCTCTTGGTGTCTCCAGAGAATGAGGCCTGTAGACTGAGCTTGTCTAAAGCATGTTGGATGCCGGACATGGTGGTTCACACTTGTAATCCCAGCACTTTGGGGGCTGAGGCAGGAAGACTGCTTGAGTCCAGGAGTTTGAGACCTCCCTGGGCAACATGGTGAAACCCTATCTCTACAAAATATACAAAAATTAGCCAGGCATGGTGGTGCATGCCCATAGTCCCAGTTACTCAAGGGGCTGAGGTGGGAGGATCACCTGAGCCTGGCAGGTTAAGGCTGCAGTGAGCCATGGTTGTGCCACTGCATGCCACCCTGGGTGACAGAGTGAAAACTTATCTCAAAATAAAGTAAAATATTAAGGCATAGTGGAGCAGGTGGTGTAATTTCTTGGGCTATGTCTCAACCAGCTGCCAGCCACCATGGGCCTCAACTCATAACAGGGTTTCACCCCTATCATTCACACTACCAGGAAAG